AAAGCGCAGCAAATGTTCTCTGATTTTTCAAAAAAATTGGAGAATTTTCTCCGATTTTTGCAGTACCCTCCACTGCATTTACCTCATTGCCCCCCCCCCGGGTGGAGGGCTGCTTTTCGATTCAAAATTTTTACCTGCGAGGTACTTAGTAGCCCTGTTCTTGGAACACTACAGTAAGTGTCCCATCCAGAAAGTCTGAGCGTACAATTGTTTTCTTAATAACCGGAGAACGATAGGAGGTAAAGACCTGAGATTTTGGCCATTGCACACAAAAGATTCTAGGTATGAAAGTATGAACAACTTTGATTGATCACTTTGCTGATAAACCGGATTTTAGTATATTTTCATGTCAGTAATATTCTTTTGATCAAGTTTTCAATGAAAATGTTTCAGAACGATAACAACATTTTACAAAGAAGTAGAACTAACAGTAGGGTTAAGAAGTTACTTTAACCCTAAACTAATGTAGAACTGATTCAAAGAGTTCACCAAAAGGATTTATTAGAGTGGTTCCCAAAGCAATTTTTCCAAGCATTCATCAAAGCGACTGTTTTTCAACATACATCAAGCGCATGATGTATCACATTTGTTCTGAACTTTATCCAGCGTGTTCAAGAATTGGAACTGGGAAGAATTTGTATGTTTTTGCCTCTAACGCAAAAACCAAAAACATTGTGTATCAAACAGCTTTGCAATAAAAATTGTATTTCACAGCACACAGTCTCTCTTAAATGAAAGAAGTCCATAAAACAAAACAAAACATGTTGAAAAGAATAAAAATATTTAAAAAACTTTAAAATGCGAAAAACAAAAAAAAAGTTGGAAAGGGAAAGTAATCCGAGTGTGTTCTGGAACATTCAAGATCGGTAACTTATATGAAACCATAAGATCGTCGTTTCCCAATACGTTAAGTATGCAAAATTGAATTTTCCCGGGCAACGCCGGGTACTTCAGCTAGTTTGCCATAAAACAAAACCAGCGAAAATGTCCTTTTGTGGGCTGTCATAAATCGATGAAAAGTCGATGAAAAAATGTCATAGATAGCTGGGAGGCGTCTTATTTTGCTCTGAATTCCCTGCTCTATAAGGCTGTATGGTTTGCAACAACAAAAAAAAATATCCAAAACCAAAGACTTGATTTTCTAGGCTTCAGGTTGTCCAGAAACCCTATTATCAGATTTTTTTATAAAATCTCGATATGCACCTCATCTGATAGAAAATTCTCGAGCTATTCAAATCAGTATTCAGATTTGTTCTAGCTAATACACGGAAAGAGAAAAAACAAAGAGGGTTCTATCATTATGTAACATCCTGTATATTGAGAAGATCGTTATTAAGAGAAATTTCGATATGCGACTCACATTATCTTTTTCGGACTAAAGCTAATTGTAAAAGACGATCAGTTACAAAGTTGTCGCATAAGCCTAAATCGTCCTTTGAGTCACTTTATGGTAACTTTTTTTGTATTCGTATTTAGAATTGTCGGGTACGGGTCTAAAAATCGCACCCGTGCACATCTCTAGTGGTTAGTAACGTTACAATATGAATACCCAACAGTCACCCCTAATACATTCTACAGCTAATTGTGATATTTTTTCTTAGTAATTTTGTGCTTTTTTCACATTAATGACTTGACAGTTTTCATAATACTAACCTGAATTGTTTTCTGGATGGGTGCTGTCTAAATAACACAAGAATGTTAGACGAATTCGAATTTTCTGATGGAAAAGTAGTACTTATATCAGCTGCTGCAGTACTGTTGGTGTTGTTATTATTATTCGACGAAGCCGAATTCAGTTCACTATTGTATTCGTTCGAATTGTTGTCTGCAACGTTATTATCTTCATTTTTATTCTTCTCATCGGTTCTTAAATTCGAAGTTGACATTTTGTTTGGACAAGTGTATCTAAAACAAAGGAAGAAATAGAGCAGCCAAATCTCTCACTCAATTTGCTTCCAGGATGCGCTTTTCAGCTATAATTACTGCAATCGTGATAGGCTGAGAAAGAACCGTGCTTCTAATTTTATACGGCAGAAAAAGCGTCCAAAACTAGACACATTTAATGAACTATTTTTGCCATATACTGATATGTTTTTTTGTGAATGGAGTTTTGTGGACGTTTTTACACGCTATTTTATGTTTGTAATGATTCAAAAATAGTTTAATAAAATAATCCTAGCGCGACATCTTAAACCAACAAGCTGCAAAAAGCCAAGAAAAAAATAAAACTGGGCTACTTCTTGAGACAAGAAACATGTCTTACTTCCTTGAATCAAGGAGTTACGCTACGATGTTACAACCATGTATAGACAGCTCAAAAAATGACAGAGTGAACGGTGTATTCAGTCTGTTAATACACAGATGAACAAGTTCAGTCAAATGGTTTACTAATGGTATATTACAATAGGTTAATTGTTTTCAACTATTGTAAATTAGTCTCGCAATAAACAATCTCTTTGTTCATTTCACGTTTTCCGATGATGATTCATCAAGTACTATCAAGATGTTATACCCATTAACTATACAATCTACATCTTTATCGTACGGCGAACTGATATGTTTCATTATCCAATGCAAGATTTCTGAGTAAAAATTCCCTNCAGTCAAATGGTTTACTAATGGTATATTACAATAGGTTAATTGTTTTCAACTATTGTAAATTAGTCTCGCAATAAACAATCTCTTTGTTCATTTCACGTTTTCCGATGATGATTCATCAAGTACTATCAAGATGTTATACCCATTAACTATACAATCTACATCTTTATCGTACGGCGAACTGATATGTTTCATTATCCAATGCAAGATTTCTGAGTAAAAATTCCCTCTCGAAAATCATCTATGATATCAAATGTTGTTCTTCCTTTGAATGTTATTTGCCTCAGAATCATTTCAGATATATGCATTTTACGACATTGTCCTTCCAATTCGACATTCAGGTTCTAAACGATTTCAATTGGTTTATTGAATATATTTTTCGAACATGCTCAACCAGGAAGTATCTTTAAGGATATTGTTTAACATCATTTTTTACTGCATTTGTTGTTTTAAATGATACCGTCTCGATGTGTTCTGAAACGCATTTTGCATCACTGGAAGCTGCTTTACAATTAATTCACATGTATTGTTACAAGTAACACGTCACTGCTACTATATTTATTATAAAAAGTTACGTAGGAAATATACAGCACGTATGAAGGGCATCAACGAAGAAAAAATGCATTGTAAAATTTTCCAGCTACTCTGTAAAAAGAAAAGATAGAACAAAAGGTCGTCAAGCAACGGTAAAAATGGAGGAACGTTTTAGTGTTGTGCGTTATTCCTGACGCTAAACGTAAAAGTTTTGGTTGTTTTGGATTTTTTCCCATGTACTAAACAATGCATATGCAATAAGCAAGAAAAGCATTGCACTAGGCAACGCTTTGCGCTCGACAAAACGTGGATAACAGATGTTGCTCCGGCAACATCGTTTCAACCAATGAAAGCAGAAACAATGCATAAAAAGCATTTAGAATTCCCATGCATCCATTCGTTTTACACTATTAAAATGCCGTTAGAAAACATGATGTCTTCTAATATAATGACAGAAATACCGTTTTTAGCGTCGCAGCTGTTTGTGATAACCAATAACTTTCATTGATTTCAATGCGGTCAGGTTTAAAGCTCTTTAAGAATGACAACATACATGGACGAATGAATGAAAAGCGGTATCAGTGTAATGATTAAACATCCGTTTTGACCAGAACGGAACCAAATAAGTCTGTAACATAAGGATAAAACACGCACTCTGATTGCTACAAGTTTTCAATGATCTTTAATTGATAATCATTGACGGTGTTTCTAATGAACTTCGTTGCAACTAAAGTTCTGCAGGAGCAGCTTTTCCCTGTCCATAGTCATGAACAAATTTCAAATTTTTGTCGACAAATATGCTTGTGCAGCAAAATATTGTGACTATTTACTTTTTCAATTAAAATTCACTCATTTTGACCCCTTTCTGACGCACTAACAATACTTTTTATTTCAACTGAAACACAAACTATAAAAGTAAAACACCTACGGTATATGTTGATATTTTGTACAGTAATAAACACGAGTCGATAGTTTTCATGTGGAAAAAAATCCTATTGTCGCTTCTTTAACACGTTGCGCGTGTAGCGAATCAAACTAAGGGAGAAGCCAACAAGTTTATTGGTTTTCTTTTCTTCTTTTCTACATTATGCAGTTCTGTCATTTCTGCGAAAAAATGATTACAATCATAAATGTTTCATAATATGCCTTAGAAAAATAGAAATTTCTTTTTACTTGTTCATTATTCGAAAAATGACTCACCAGTTACAACATTTACTGGTACACTCTGTTATCCTGAGCACGATGTACTTTAAATAGTCTATTGTTTTTCAGAGTGTATCAATTCTAGGAAAAATGTGTGACAGTCAGATATGAGAAATAAAGAAGCTCTGTTACTATTAGTTTTCTAGTCTAAAGTGATAAAAGCGTACTTCAAAAAGTGCTGCTGTCTATTCGCTCTCTAAAATAGAAGTGAAAATCCACATTTCACAATACACATATTGTTTTTCTCAAAAAATAAAGGTTACATTTACTTTTCAAAGCGTCTGCATACTGTGCATATTACCAATCCGAGTACACTTCATCATTCGAAATATTGATCGTTTACCCCTCAGCCGCCTTTGAGAATATCACCATCTTTTTTTCAATTTGTATTATTTCTGAGGTGTAGAAAAACTTTTTCAAGTTATTGTTTACTCAGACAAAAAATTTCGTAACTGCTTCTAAAAATTGTTTTCTATTCTGTTATGCAGATACGCAAATGAACACATTCTTCATATTAACAGTTTGAAATAGTTATGAGTTCTAGTTTTTGATGACAAGTCAACGTACTTCGCATTATGAGCACCGTACATCATTTATGATACTGAAATTCCTAATTATGTGCACTTAGTGTGTTTATTCCAGATATTATATTGTTAATTTCTACAATGACTTCGTCGAGTCAATCATCTAGTGTCGTTTCACTGCAATCATCGACAACAACACCGTACCTTAGATTTGCTCAATTGGAAAAAGATACAGATCTCAATGAACGGAAAATATATTTTAATAATGAATTGGAACAACTACTAGCATTTTGGTTAAATGAAAAGAAAAAGAATGATATTTTCGGAAGGTATTCGTACTATTTCTCTAATGTGTTTCTTTTTAATCTTCTTTATTTCTGTTCTAGTTTTCGTACAGCTAATTTACATACAGATTATTTGGGTGAAGTCGACGTTATATCCGATGCTGAAGTAAATACAACTAACATGAAATCAAAAGTGCAATGCTTTTTTCTCATTTTGTTTTCTAGCATATTAAAAAGTTACTCAAAGTTCCATTTAATAAACAAAGCCAGATAAGTATGATTGTACACAGAGCTGGTCGTACAATTTTAATCGATGAATTTGACGTACACTCCCATTTATTAAGACTGGAAAAGGTAATTAAAAATTTTGTAATAAAAATATAACAATTATTACTCATTTTTAGAACGAATGGACATGGTTTCGTGACTTTTTTCTTGATACGATCCTTCGTAATATAACAGTAAAGCATTTTTATAAGAAAAACAAATCGAGACATAAATTAATCAGTAAAGATCGTTTTGTTAAATTTCTTTGTCAAAGGTATTATGGGAAAAAAGTTCTAATTTAGTGAAAATTTTCTTATATCGCTTTTTCATTGTATAGTATCGAAACCCAAGATGATAATAATCTTCCAAAATATCAACGTCCAGATTCAGCCTCTAGTGAACCAGTTTCTCCAACACCTCAATCAACAATCGCAGCAAGCTTATTACAGAACATCAATGATCTTGTTAAAAATAGCACTGACAGCAATAAAAATAATGGTGATAACAACAGCAGCACAAACGACGACAATCTGAATATTGAGAGCGATAATCAACAAGCTGATAGTACAAATGAGACTACTTCCAACAAAGCATTGCATCGTCATGTACTATGGACATTTGAAAATATAAAAATGTTGATTGGCTCGGATTTACCTATATTTGGAGATGACCAACATCCAGCAGTTAGTTTACGACTAAGGTGCGACTGTTCTTTAACCTCATGCTAATCTGATTACTCAACGGTCATAGGTTTGTTTCAGAGATATGCAGAAACCAATTAATGTTTTAACAGGCATTGATTATTGGTTAGATAATTTGATGTGTAATGTTCCTGAATTAGCTATGTGCTGTCATTTGGATGGAATAGTACAATCTTATGAATTAATCAAAACTGAAGATATTCCATACCTCGAAGGATCAAATTTTCCACCAAGTGTTATCAGAGATTTGGCAACAAATTTATTATCATTTCTCAAATCGAATGCCACGAAGGAAGGTCACACTTATTGGTTATTCAAAGGTAGATGAAACTTAAACACAATTTTACGAAACTAATTATTTTTTCAATTTTTTAAGGTCCGGAGGATGATATTGTTAAATTGTATGATTTGACAAGTTTATGTCAAACCGATCGTGATGATAATCCGTATACGCTTCCTGTCGCATTGTTATTATACAAAATGGCAAGTAATATGGTGACAGGCAGTGATCATGACACTCTTTCAAAAGAATCTGGCACAATTCGTACATTATTAAAACATTGTTTGAATATGTTAGATCCAAATAAATTT